TTTCTACCCTCGTCTGTCATAAAATCACGGCAATAAATCTGTTACAAGAAGGCGTTGCGTGTCCAGTAGCCGTGTTCACATCATCGAAGCCTTTAACACGCTTCGACAGCGAAAGCACACCTAATTTATATGTAAATATAGCAATTAGAACCTTCTTAGTTGGATATTTACCTGCAGATTCCTATCGCGACCGTTAACGAGAGATTCAAATATAATAATTATGGTGAATTCTAGCAAGCAACTAGCTCAAGTACTAAAGGCATAAATGATCTAATTCGTTAATATATAGGTACTTACTTATAATTTAAAAAAATATATTTTTTTTAAATGATATATATTGTAAAAACTAATCCGAATAAGTCGCTAAAATGTCAGTTAGTTTCTTAATTAAATACAAAATAGTTAAAAAAATACATTACGATTTTTCAAGAGCTATGAAAGATACAGCGATACTATGTTTATAGATCCGAGTTAGGTTCCAAAGTAGAATGATAGGCACTAGTACAAGTTACTGGAGCCATAGATGATTCTTTTTGTCATGTAGTTTTATAGACATTACAAAAGAATAGTTTCTTTAACTAAGATAAATATACTTCAAATAATAATTCAAAGTAAATTAATCAATTGACGGGGCACCAGAGAAAACAAATTCACCCGGAATTTAACATGATGGTTTCAGGAGAACCGCGTGGAGGGCAACTTAACAAGATAGATAGATTAGCATATATTAGACAGATCGCAGTACGATTCGTGTACATATATATTACATAAAAAAATATGATGTTTCATTTTAATCAGATCATCTTCTCTGTTCGCTCTAGAGAGGATATGGAAGTTGATCTGATGAAATGAATGAGTGAAAACAGTAAGCATCGCATAATCTCGCACGGTGAAAACATTTACTCAGGAGTATGATTGTTTGTATTGGTATGTGTTTTCTTTGTATATTATGTATGTATATATATCTAAGTTTATCGTGGGACTAGATGGTGCTGTATTAATTATCTTTAATAAAAAAAACTAATTGATAAAACCTATTAGTAAACCATATTGATTTTATGGAACATAAAAAAATACTGTAACGCTCATAAATTTAAGTTCTTTTTACAGGAGATACTCGTAAGTTCATAGGAACTTATTCCACATTTCCCACATGGAGTAATATAGATTACGATGTTACTTTAGAAAATAGTTCCATATTTAGGTATGAGATGTAATCATTTAAATCTATGTATATTTACACTAAGCTATTTTATAGTTAATGCAAAATAAAAACGATACTCTAATGTATACACACCTTTATACAAACAAACTTCTAATTTAAATCTAGAATATAACATTTCTAAATTGAAACTCTAGATCAAACGGTTAAATTCTCGTATGATACCAATTCCCATCTATTGTATCCCGGACCGGTAACCGATAACCGGTATCCGGTAACCACTAATGGGTGCTCAGCTTACCGGTCCTAAGATTTATTCCCATCTTATCCGGAATAGATTGCGTTCTGTTATAGATTAGGAAATACAAAGTTGATTTGCTTCCACTTATTATGAGATATCGGATAGATACTTGTTCACTCAATATTGTTACAGCAATGGGATGGGTCGAATAAAGGTCATAGATTTATTACCAATTGTGGTTGTTTTTGTCTATGGATGATATTATATTATTAAATATATTTGCAGACTTTGCACAAAGTCGTCGAGGCATGCATCTCACCTTTATCTGTCGCAACCCGGGTATTTTCTTAACTATGTTTTGGTTGAAGGGTGAAATATGGCTGTGATATATGATAGCATTTGAAGGCAGGACATATGTCCTCCGGAATTACAACAAATGAATGGAATTACAAGTCTTACTTGAAAAATTCATAAGTCGTGTTATTATCACAAAATTATATCAGCATTTTGGAATCGTAAATACAGGATATAGTAGTATATATAATAGTAAATACACTACATTATACACGAAAATTGATATTACGTTAGTACTTCATAAATTGACGCATTCTATCTTTGTTTTATATATTTCTTTATTTGGGAGACAAAATGTTTCAGAATGTTATTAGTGTTCAAGTACATACTTATGAATGAATAATAACAAAACCTATACAGAAATCCATGGATTACGACTATTGTAAGAACTTAAACTTATTGAAAATATGTAAAAAAAAAGAACTCGTATTGTAAGTACAACAATTAGGTACAAAATAGTGAATAAAATATTTTTATGTTTATTCTCTACATATAACTTGCTAGTGAATCTATAGTTATTTATATTGACCGTAATATTCTCATCCCAGCATATATATGTATTGTGTCATTCTCGATATCTATACACATACTCACTAATGACTCATAAGGACCTACCTTTTTTTTAAATGTTTTTAAATCGATAAATTTTGAGTATTACAATTAAGAGCCGTTATTATTATCCAATGTTAATAACGCCCACACACAATATTATCACATCGATACCGTTACAAAATAGTTCTAACGCAAAAAGTGTTTTGTATGCAAAATAGTAAATAAATATTCTACGTCTCATAACAAGATGAGATTAAGTGATATGTTGTTATAAATTAAAGATGATTTTATGATCTTTATGTAATTTGAATAGGCAATTTATTTGCTAATTCTCTTAATCGTTGACCTCATGTAATGTTTAAAAAAAGAAATAACATGCTAGTGACATTTTTTATTATATTATACTGTGATATAAAGTATAACAGATCTTTGCTAATCATAATTATAAGGAATACGTAAGAAATTGTGTGTTTAGGATTTCACTTTCTCTCACTTCACTTCATAAAAAAACGATTCATTTCTTTATGTACCAATTTTAATAATTTGATCAAAGAATCATCAAATTGTATTCAGAACCATTCGCGTAACATACAAAACTAAATTTTTACACCATTTTTACAAAAAAATCTACTTAATACCTAAATCTGTAATGTTGCCATTTTTTATTATTACAACATGTTTATTTAAATAGAAATGTTCAAAGACATACTTTTCTTCAATATACAATTTTAATTCTTTGTCTATAGTATTCAAATGATATATATGAGTATAACTAGTGGTTCGCACCATCATTGCGGGGTGTACATAACTAACTAATAAAACAAATTACGAGATTATCCACTTCGAACATACAAATAATCAAATTTTTCGTCTTTATAATATTAGTAGGTACGTATACGTTTGGTTGTTATGGATACCTTTATTTTTGCATTTTTCCAGAACGTTATCTATTTAACTAACGTTTTTCCATTTATTTCCATTCATAAATATTTCATTCTTAATTCATCATCCAAATATTTTTTTCAAATGACCGAATCAATACATTATCTTTTTCATACATCATACAATGTTAATAAAAAATCTAACGGATCTTGACATTACCAGAATTGAAAAAAAAACCGTTTCAAATTAACTACTAGCGTTTTTCTGTATTGTTGATAAATGGTTCCATATTTCACTTGACGATTTATATAAATCAATTTAGTGCATTCAATTCATTAATTCAAATTTTTGTATGTTACGCAAGAGCGTCTATATGTATAACATAACAGTATGTATAGTACAGATGTTAAAATTATGTTTATAAAATTTCTTATACAATTTACTATAGTAAATAAACTAAGTGTAAAAATTTTGTGTATCTATGATAACGTATAATAATTATAATTTCATTAAAATGTCTATGTCTCTAAGATAATAATGTATCATAGAGATATAGACATTTTATGAATATAGATATTATAAACATTGTCAGTTACGGTTATGACTTTTTTGTTAAAATGTATTAATTTTAATTATTGTTTTGTTTTTACTTAGTGTACCTGCTATTGGTTCCAGTCAAATTATGGCATGAAGCTGTTTTTGTATAAAATATAATCACAAATTATTCTCTACTAATATAACATAAAAATATTTGACTCGAGCAAAGAAATTGTTGAATTCCAATAAATTCTGCCGTTAAAATTGATGCTACGGAACAATTGGATTATGATCAAACAAACTAATCTATTCAGCATAACGAAATTACAAAATGTTATGACTACGAGCTACGTAATGACCACGAGATCAGTGGTGACCTTCGGTGGTCTTGTATTACTATATAATAGGATATTATAGAATATGAAATGAAGCAATGTTATATGTATTTCACGAATTAGGTTTAACTATTAAAAAAATATAACAGTTACATATAAACGTACCATTTCTTACGGCCTTATTACTTTCAGCAATAAGGCCGTCTTATTGTAACTATACATGTATTGCTTATGCCTTTACTGTATGTTACAAATAAAGTATATTATACCTATCTATCTACTGTGGACTGACTTTTTATGCCTTTATAACCTAGTACCTAACAGTGGAGTTACAAGTAATTTCACTACCATAAGTTTTTTAATCCTTTTTTTCTTTATTGAAATAGCAAACAAGTTAAAGCGTACCTGGTGATAAGCTAAATAACTGCTGCAGGTGTGTTGCCATTCAAGAAGATTAAGATACCTCTTATTCTATAATTTCAGTGCCGATTCTGCAACCTACAACGAAACACACAGCTTTAAAAAACAAGTAGCTTAGCGGCTGCAATAGCTCCCCTATTTACCGAAGTGTTTAAGTAAACAGACTACTTTTCTGTTGTAATATAACAATTTATAATAAAATAGAAACTTTTTTTTATGGTAGATGTAGAGACAGAGATGTGAAATATATATATTTTGTTTTATAGTTTTGATAAAAAATACATGACAAAATTTTAAATAGATCAATATTAAAAGAGTTTTTCAATTTTCACACTCTAACTGAGATAGAATACAGCTTACAAAGTAATTTGCTTGGTGAAAGAAATTGTAGTTATAAAGTTATCCACGCAAACGACTTTGTTATAACTATACTTAGAATAAAGGATTCAAGCGCCCACCACTAACACCTTACTGCATTTATGTCTCTGAGATCTCTAATGAATGCATTTCTTTACAGGCAACCTGAGAGCACCCTTCACATTACTGGCTGACGCTTTCCGTTTATGAGGTAAGAATAAATTTATAAAGAAAAACTGACCAAGCTTGATTAAGCTTACTAACCTACGATTCAAACCGGTATGTTAGAACGTGTTAGTAGATTTTGTTCTTTAAAGAAGTACCGTCTATCATATAAGGTTATAAATCCTTTTAATTGCAAAAATTGATGTAAATCCGTTCGGTTTTAGTATATATGTATATCACATCAATATTTAAAGAAATTTAATAATACATACTTAGAATTAAATTTATAAGACTTATTTTAACAACAGTATTTTTTATTAGGTGTATAGCCTGAGTAAGGTTTCCCATTTTATTTTTATTGTTTTTATTCAGTGTTTATTGATAGTATACTTATAGTACACACTGTATCAACTGCCTCAACATATCCATGTAGGAAAAACCACTACTAAACAATAAAAAACATAAAAGTTACAAAAAAAAATCGGATTATATTTGTAATCTTTTTTATACTACATATTTTTATACAAGCATAAGGCCCATCTGGTAAACGTTATGGACGTCTGAAATACCAGGTGTGTCACGTGCATATTGCCAACCCTTAATATACCCTTCCTAAAAACTCCATGCTGCGATCGCTCGAGAAAATTTGTAAATATACATATATTATTATGTATGTATCTATTGTATAAATATTGACATATAGAAATTGAAATACTAGTTATTTATGATAAGAATTGCTTGTGGGTAACGCCGACGTTTCCGTATTGAAAAAGACTCGGTTAGTCGGAAAAATGAATATTCATACCAATGATTGCGATACGCAACTACCGTTTTAGAATCAAATGAATTCAATACTCTTCCAAAAGCGGAATCTCTACAAAACAACCATCCAGCGATATGCCCGTGCGATATGGAAAGAATTTTCTTTTGACACTTCTTAGTAGAATTCATACGCCATGACTGTGTACTCCTCTGAATTAAACATAGTTTAAGTAGGGTTTTAAGTAGTTTAAATAAGCCTTGTTTTTACAAGGTTTTGTTAAATATGTAGCAGGATTTAACTATACAATGTAATATGTTAAATAAACACCGATTGTCTTAAATTACCGTAAATATTAAACACTAGCTATGCCCGCGGTACCAGTATGAAATTTATAGCCTATGTTTTATACTGATATATATGTATTAGCCATAAAGTTACTGCAAGGTTCCATGAAAATCCGTTTAGTTGTTTTTGCGTGAAAGAGAAACATACATCGATTCATCAATTTTTATACTCACAAATTTTCGAGCTTATTATATTAGTAAGAAGAAAAGGTAAATAGTTGTAAGATAAAAGTAAAAGTTGAACTATATAGTTCAACTACATTCTCGCGCTAAGTAACAATTCACAGTAACATTATTATTGTGTTACTTAAGTATTATGTTAAATCGAACATTTTTATTTTTGTATTATTTGACTATATAATTACCTAGAAATAACACTTGGTACCTATTAAAAATACTCGTGAGAACTACGAGATATTGACCCAAGGGCCCTTAGTACCTATTCTATAATTTGCTAAAAAAATGAGGCTTGAAATTATTCAATAAAAATCTCTTCAATGTTCATTTATTACTTCTATTGCATTTAACTGTTTAATTTCCAACGCTCTTCCATAATACTTGATGAATACCGATTTGCTGCACCGTCATTAATTATAGATACAAAACGTATTATTATTGAAAACATCACACCTCAGTGATTTCATGCGTGTTAACAACATATTATCTGTTACTTATACGACATTAAGTAATTTGTCATTTAATTCCGTGAAACGCTTTATTGGGTAATAGTATGCTTTTGTACCAGTCTATTTAAACTAGTAAGGATTGCAAAGTAACGGGGTTTTCCAGAAGACACTATTAAAGCTTTTATAGAAATAAATAAAAATAAGGATTTTAATTTATTTAACAAAATTTATACCTTAGGTACTCTAACTCCCGACAACAAAAATAACTGTAAGATGTAAAAAAATTCATAACCTTCATAAGTCCTAATAATTTATAGCAAAAAGCATTTCTGTCATGTCAGTTTTTTTTCGGACTACTCTAATGTTGTTGGACGCAGCTGGCCTTTATAACTTCACCGGACGATAGGGAGCGAGTGCACTCCAAACCCGCGGTAGGACTTATGGAGCGGCTAAGCCCAACTCCCGCCTGACGGATACGACTTTAGTCTGAGGGCACCGCTAGGGGTTCGAATCTCAGGCCGTCGTAATTTCGATCCCCGTTTGAATTAAGCAGGGGATCGATCGAAGGTGCCTTTTCATGTCAGTTTTTAAATAAATTAAACAAAATATTAAAATCAATAATAAAAATCGGTCTATTGTTAAGGAGCTGCGATGCCGCAGACTGACATGTTAAATATAATAAAATACGCCTCTTTTTGAAATTATGTTTAAATGAATAATAGGCAAGCTCACATGAACAGACACTGCTAATCAGTGTCTACTCACAAACAGATATGATAAGATTAAAAAAAAGGTGTGACAAAGCTAAACTAAAACATATATATACAATGTAACTGACTGCATGTTGCAACTGAGTGCAGAAAATATGACATTGACAAGTGTAATTGTAGGAAGCCATAATTCTTTTCATTATAAATGTAGTTAGGAAGTTAAAAAACTCCACTTTATATGAATCGTTATTATATACATTTTTTGTAATAATTCAGTGAATCTCTAGTTGTCAGTATAAGAGTTCTATTCTATTAATAAATAGCTAGCTAGCTATTAGCCGTGACTTTGTCTGCACAAACTATCATTCCCTATTTCACCCCTTCCAGATATTTTTTTAGATGTATTCTACTTTAAGTCAAATTTAATTAAAATCTCCTCAGCCAATCTTTTGTGAAAACGTAAATAGATAAACACTCTTTCATGTTTATTATATTAATGCTGGTTAATATAAAATTTTGAGTCATGGGTATTATACTAGGAAATATACACATGAAATAAATAATAATATTACATACCTATATTTAGTAGATTGTTCGTGACTTATAGGGATAGTAGTGAGATCTAGTGGAGGAACGTGGTGGCCCGTATCACAAATTTTTCGGATTCCTCGTTCTACACAAATCTCTACATTTGCATTAAATTTAACATGCCCAGTTGGCTCTGATGCACTTTATATTATATTTTTTGTGGAAAAAATAAATATACTATTAGTATTAGACTCATCATTAAAATCAGTTTGATAGTTTGTGCGTGAAAGAGTAACAAACATCCTTCCATACTCATAAACATTTGCGTTTATAATAATAATTAGATAATTGTAAAATGACAAACAGTGACGACAAAAACGTGTTACATATTTTGTGAGCTAAAATTGCACCTAATGTTTGCACATATTTAATTATTCATAATTAAGGATTCCTGCCATAGTTCTGTCAACTATAGTCAACTATGGGAAGTCTCAATTGTTAATACGTCTGTTACATTGTTTCTTTGTTCTATTTATTGTCTATGCACCAATGTCCACATTAGTACATCTCGTGTGAACTTTGAATAAGGAATCACGACTGGCTAAACATTAATAATTAATAATTATTGCTGCAGACTGAAGCGTCTGCAATTAGCGATCGTAATTAGTATGTTACATAATATAGTAGACATGTGTGGTGTTAATGACCCACTCGATTACTCTCTTTTCGAAGGAGTCATCCATCTAATGTTATTGATTTCATTCATCTATATATTTGCATAAATATATAGAAGCTTAATTAGAAATGTTGTACAATTAAATTATGCTTACGTTTGAAATGTTATGTATATTTATTGACTTAATGTCAGTAACCTAAGTTTTTGTATTCAATAATTATCGTTAATTTACACAGGGTAGACCGTAGTAAATATTTAATACTATTGGTTACATGCGATTTCGTCTGCTTTTTTTAGCGTATAACTTTATGTGATATAATCTATCATCATATCATTAAGATCCGTTCAGCCGTATAGTCGTGAAGGAGTAAGAAATAAAGAGACGCATAGAGAGATAGACACCCTGTTACACTTATAATATTAGTGTAGATATAATTGAATTCTACTACAATTCTAGTAGTAATTTTATTATGAAATAATAATTTTGAAATTTTTTTACGGTACATACGTGCATATAAGATAATAAAAAAAAAACATTAAGTACTTCACTGATGGTAGCAGTTCAGCGCAAGTAGTCCGTCGGAGAGAAGGAATTGAATAATCTAAATTAATAATATCTAATATTAATAACGTGGAACGTATTAGTAATGTTTATAATAATAAATACTTATTTGCTTACTTGCTACATAGTACAGTTTTGGTTCCTACTAAATAATAAAAGTTAAAAACATAGAGCACCTCGTTAGCATAATTAATTAATTAATTCTATATAATATTATTCGTTAAATTCCTTTTCAATAAATATATCATAATACTAATAAATAATAAACTATCTATCTATATAAACATTTTTATTTAATAACCAAAGCATTGAACCAATTTTAATGTAATTTATAAAAGACTAATTTAAAAATACATCCTCTGTAATGAAATACCTAATACAAAAACAGTTTATAAATAGGCAAATGACATATTTCTGAACAATCATAAAATAAGTACAACAAGTTAAAAATGAAGCGCCGGAACTACTCGTAACTATAATTACATCTGATTTATCTTAAGTTTTAATTATGTTTAGATGTCAAGACTTGATAGTCTCAGTATGCAACAATGCAGTGTAAAAATAAACGTTCCACATCTGATATCATATCATAATATAAATTGTCGAATTATGTTCATGTCATGCTTTCTAGCTGAGTTAAGAGATCTTGTTATGTATGCTCTTATTTTTTTAATTAAAACATCTTATCGTGGTCAATAAAAACTTACATAATTGTTTTGTTTTTATAAAAAAATTGTAAGAAATTTAGTTCTAATGCATATTAATAAAATTTGTTACTGTTCTTCTAACTTCGAATAATGCTTTAGTCTTTTAGGAAGTCATCTGCGTCGGTAGATC